TATGTTTGGTATACTGTTGCAAATGCATTATCATAGCCTGTACATTGATAGCGTAGAGCTTTGATAACGTGAAATGAAGGAGGAAGAAGATTTTGATTTGAGGAAGATGGGAAGTTTGATTTTGGACTTGTTGAGGTTATAGTACCATTTGGTCATTCTTTCAGCAGGAGATGTTGAAAGAAAGAGATTTGGGTCCACGTTTATAGCAGTGACAGTGAAGTATGGGCGTGCGTGAGACCACCTTCAAGGAAGAAAATTTAGCAAAAGCTGAGTTCTAGGTCTGAACCTTGCACTACTGTGCCCTTTTAGTAAATGGGTGGTCAGAATAGGAGGTGAAGGATCTGTAACGAGGTTAGGAAGAAAGTGGAGTACAGAGTTAGGAAGCCAGGTTTTAAGAATGGGGTGATTGAGAGTCAGGTGCTACAGGGAGATGGAGGAGCTTGAAGAATAAGGAAAAGGTCATTGAAGTGGGTGATTTTATCAATGTGACTGTTTAGTAGAGTGAGGTGAGTAGAAGCCCAGTCCCAGAAGGTTCGGGAGGGAAGGCAGGGAGTAGTGACTAAAGAGGACTCTTAAGAAATTGGTGGAGAAGGTGAAGTGTGTGATTGACGGGCAGTCAAGAGCACAGCTGTGGAAGAGATGTTTGCCTCGGGGTGGGAGGTGACACTGTGAGGGCGAGGAGGGAAGCTTGGAGAGAGGCATGTCTTGGAGCTGCAGTGCCTGTCTTGGCATGGGGTCTGTTAAGAAGTGAGAGGTTATAGAATTCTAGGTATCCAAGATAGATAACTGCTTGCTTCCCCTTTCATTTGGCTCTGTGTGTTGTTTTAACATCTGTTTCTTTTTTTTTTTTTTTGAGACGGAGTTGCGCTCTTGTTGCCCAGTCTGGAGTGCGGTGGCACAATCTTGGCTCACTGCAACCTCTGCTTCCTGGGTTCAAGCGATTCTTCTGGCTCAGCCTCCCAAGTAGCTGGGATAACAAGCGTGCACCACCATGCCTGGCTAATTTTGTGTTTTTAGTAGAGATGGGGTTTCTCCATGTTGGTCAGGCTCGTCTTGAACTCCCGACTTCAGGTGATGTACCCGCCTCGGCCTCCCAAAGTGCTGGGATTACAGGTGTGAGCCACTGCGCCCAGCCAACATCCTAATTCTTTTTGTTGTTGTTTTTGAGAAGGAGTCTTGCACTGTCACCCAGGCTGTAGTGCGGTGGCGCGATCTTAGCTCCCTGCAATCTCTGCCTCCTGGGTTCAAGCAATTCTTCTGCCTCAGCCTCCTGAGTGGCTGGGACTACAGACGTGAACCGCCACGCTCACCTAATGTTTTTGTATTTTTAGTAGAGATGGGGTTTCACCTTGTTTGCCCAGACAGTCTTGATCTTCTGACCTTGTGATCTGCCTGCCTTGGCCTCCCAAAGTGCTGGGATTACAGCTTCCTAATTTTTTAAAATCACCTGCAACAGGGGAACAGGGGTTGTTTGGCCTCTCAGGCAAATCTGACCTGAGACTTGCTGACTTGTTTTTGTGCAGTCCTTAAGCTAAGAATTTATGTATATGTTATACATGTAATATAAAAATAACCTGTAAATATTAACTATATTTTAAATATTTTTAACTGGTTGAAGAAAAATCACATCAATGTATCATGATGGGAAAATGATATGAAATTCAATTTTCAGTGTTCAGAAATATTTTTAGTCCTTAAGCTAAGGATGTAGGGAAGCATATGAAAGAGACGGAGAACCAGAATAAGAGGGTGGCATTGTGGTTGTGGTTGCTGAAATAAGGGAAGAAAAGCGATGGACAACAGTGTGATGTGCTGTCAGAGGTCTAGGAGGAGAGCCACTGGCAGGAGTCCACTGGATTTGGGAATTGGAAGGTCATGGCTGAGAGGAGTTTGAAGGGAATGGTGGGACAGAACCAGGGAATGGCAGGTGAGACAGGGATGTGTGGTAGCTAGAGATGGAGGGGCTGAGGGTTTCAGATGTGATGTGGAAGTGGGAGGCTTTAATAGATAGAGACTCGACCTGTTTTATGTGCTGGCTTGAACCACCCAGTTGAAAGAGAGACTGGAGTTGCAGGAGATGGGGTGTGGATGATAAAGCAAAGGTCCTGAGGAACGTGATGAGATTTGGGGAGCACATGGGGGATTAAACTTGGAAGGGAAGGCGATACCCTCTTTGTGTGGGAATGATTGCTGCGACTGTGGGAGTTATTGGCAGTATTTCTCAGGGCATTGGGCTGGAATGAGGCAGGTTGGATCGGAGATGGGCTTGAGGGCATGTCAAGATTTGGAATGTTTGTGGTGTGGAGTAGGGAGTGGGGAAGGGACCAAGGCCTAGGGGATGATTGTAGCAGCACTGTGGAGCCACGGAGATCTTGATTGATAAAGCTGCCAGTTTGCATGGTTACACGAACCCCCTGTCTCATCCCTTCTCAAGACTCCAGACCCCAGGTGAAGGAGAAGTTTCATGACTGTTTGCTTCCTCAGGGAAGCCTTTCCTCACCTCTTAAATTAACGTTATAGGCTCTCATAGCCGTTTTTACCTTCCAGGTCTCTAATGTAGAGTTGTAGTTTTGCATTTGACTGTTGTAATTATTTTAATTATAAATTATAACAAAAGTTGTTTGACTTCTGGCCGGGTGTGGTAACTCATGCCTATAATCCCACCTCTTTGGGAGGCCGAAGTGTGAGGATCACTTGAGGCTAGGAGTCTGAGACCAGCCTGGCCAACATGGCAAAATCCCGTTTTTACTAAAAATACAAAAATTAGCCAGGTATGGTGGTGCTGCCTGTTGTCCCAGCTGTTTGGGAGGCTGAGACAGGAGAATTGCTTGAACCCGGGAGACGGAGGTTGTAGTGAGCCAAGATTGCGCCACTGCACTCCAGCCCAGGCGATAGAGTGAGATTCTGTCTTAAAAAAAAAAGCGCCGGGCGCGGTGGCTCAAGCCTGTAATCCCAGCACTTTGGGAGGCCGAGGCAGGTGGATCACGAGGTCGAGAGATCGAGACCATCCTGATCAACATGGTGAAACCCCGTCTCTACTAAAAGTGCCAAAAATTAGCTGGGCATGGTGGCACGTTCCTGTAATCCCAGCTACTCAGGAGGCTGAGGCAGGAGAATTGCCTGAACCCAGGAGGCGGAGGTTGCGGTGAGCCGAGATCGCGCCATTGCACTCCAGCCTGGGTAACAAGGGCGAAACTCCGTGTCAAAAAAAAAAAAAAAAAAAAAAATTGTTGACAGGTGCAGTGGCTCACGCCTGTAATCCCAGCCCTTTGGGAGGCCAAGGTGGGTGGATCACAAGGTCAGGAGTTCGAGGCCAGCCTGGCCAACATAGTGAAACCCTGTGTTTACTAAAAATACAAAAATTAGCTGGGCATGTTGGTGCTCACCTGTAGACCCAGCTACTTCAGAGAAGAATCGCTTGAACCTGGGAGGCAGAGGTACCATGAACCGAGATTGCACCACTGCACTCCAACTTGGGCAACAGAGTGAGACTTTGTCTCCAAAAAAAAAAAAAAAAAAAAAAAACAACCCACATTGTTTCTCTTTATTTTTCTCAGTAACTTGGAGCTCTGAGGACAGATTCATCAGAGTGCGCGTATCATTGTGCAGGGTCCAGCACCTAGTGGACGCTGGACAGATGCTTGTTGCATTGCATGAATTAGAGACAGTGGTTCTAAACCTTCTTACCTGCCCAGTGCACCTCTGAAAGTTGACTTGCCTCCATCTGAACCCTTACTGACTGCCCTGATTGTCACCTGAAGGAGGACGGGTGTCAGGGTTGGGGATAGTTCATATGATCACAAGCCCTGGAATAAGAATGTTGGGCTCAGATCCCAGCCCGTCCTCTCACCAGCCTTGCAGCCCAGGGGAATCATAACCTCTCTGTGCCCCAGTGCCCTCCTCTGTAAAATGAGGGTGGAATGTAGCAGTACGTGCCTCATAGGCTTGTCGTGAAGATGTCATGAAGCTGAGCACAGTGGGATGTGCCTGTAGTCCCAGTTATGGGAGGCTGAACCAGGAGGAATGGTTGAGTCCAGGCGTTTGAGTCTAGACTGGGCAACATAGTGAGACCTTCATCTCTTAAAAAACAAAACAAAACATTGAATGAGGGAATTTATATAAAGCTTTTAGAAGAACATGTAAAAATTAGGAAATTGTTATTACTGTTAGTGGTTTCAGAAAATCTTGTAGGTGATTTTGATAGCTTTTTCTCCTGGAGACTCCTGGCTTTATGGGAAAGGATTGGCAGGGCAGGTGCCTGTCAACATCTTTGTGTATATCTCTTTATTGTAATCTACTGAACACTGAGCTTCTCAGAGGAGAAATCCCTGTAACCATGATGGTCTTCCTTCTCTAGCACCCTGAAACAAACAAAGCCATTCTTCTTTTTTTTTTTTTTTTTTTAAATAAATTTTTTTTTTTTTTTTTGAGACGGAGTTTCGCTCTCAGGCTAGAGTGCAATGGCGCGATCTCGGCTTACCGCAACCTCCGCCTCCTGGGTTCAGGCATTTCTCCTGCCTCAGCCTCCTGAGTTGCTGGGATTACAGGCACGTGCCACCATGCCCAGCTAATTTTTTGTATTTTTAGTAAAGATGGGGTTTCACCATGTTGACCAGGATGGTCTTGATCTCTTGACCTTGTGATCCACCCATCTCGGCCTCCCAAAGTGCTGCGATTACAGGCTTGAGCCACCGCGCCTGGCTTTTAAATGAATATTTTTTTAAAAAGTAGTGACAGTATGTTGCCCAGGCTAGTCTCGAACTCCTGGGCTCAAGTGATTCCCCCTGCTTTGGCCTCCCAAAGTTTGGGATTACAGGTGTGAACCGCTGCACCCATCCCTCGAAGCCATTCTTGGTCCTGTAGGACTAGCACTAAGAAATAGTGGAACTGTCAAGGGGCCGGTCACTTGGGTGTCTTTCCCATCTGTGTGATGAGGGCACAGTGAATGCTGCCTGCTTTATACCAGCCACGGTAAATTTGATGCTTTGTTTGCCTTGCAGAGGAGGTGGCCAAGTTGGAGAAGCACTTGATGCTTCTACGGCAAGAGTATGTCAAGCTGCAGAAGAAACTGGCAGAGACAGAGAAGAGATGCAGTCTCTTGGCTGCGCAGGCGAACAAGGACAGCAGCAGCGAGTCCTTCATCAGCCGCCTGCTGGCGATTGTGGCGGACCTCTACGAGCAGGAGCAGTACAGGTGAGCTCCTGAACACCAGAGGCTCCTGGGCCAGGCGACAACTTTTGTCGTTGACTTTCTTCACAAATTTATTTCTCTCTCTTAAGAATATTAGCAGATCTTTTTTTTTTTTTTTTTTTTTTTTTTTTGAGATGGAGTTTTGCTCTTGTTACCCAGGCTGGAGTGCAATGGCGCGATCTCGGCTCACCGCAACCTCCGCCTCCTGGGTTCAGGCAATTCTCCTGCCTCAGCCTCCTGAGTAGCTGGGATTACAGGCACGTGCCACCATGCCCAGCTAATTTTTGGCACTTTTAGTAGAGACGGGGTTTCACCATGTTGACCAGGATGGTCTCCATCTCTCGACCTTGTGATCCACCCGCCTCGGCTTCCCAAAGTGCTGGGATTACAGGCTTGAGCCACCGCGCCCGGCCTTAGCAGATCTCTGTTCCCCAGAATAGAAGCTCCTTGAGGCAAGATTTTTGTCTCTCCTGTTTACTGCTTCAGCAAAGTGTCCAGGAGTCATGGTGATAGTATTGCTAATGCAAACAGGAATTGGCTTACATGTCTAGGAATTCAGAGAGCAAAGGTCCATTTCTCTTGAGATGGTCAGAGGAAAACAGGCTTGGAACTAGTCGGAGAGTACATCCTGATGGTTGTGGGTGAAGTCTGCAGCCCTACAGCTCACGTTAACAGCTGGCCAATTCTTAGCTGTGTCACCTCATTCTGTGTGACATGCCTCAGATTCCTAATCTGTAAAATGAGGTTACTACTGCTACTTACCTTCAGGTTGTTGTGAGGATCAAATTAATAAACACAGGTTAAGCAATTAGGACACTGCATAGCACATAGTAAGTGCTCAGTTGTTAACTGTCGTTATTCTTTTTAAAACTTAAAGTTTTTCACTGGTTATAGCAGCAATAGGATGTTAGCTGTTGTTATTTAAGTGAGTTTTGAGGTAGATGTTAGAGGCTGGTTAGTATTTAATGGATAAAGACAGTAATATTACAAATAAGGAGAGTAAAGTCTCAAAGGTGAGGAAATACAGAGTGTTCAGATGACAGAGAGGGCCAGGACGGGGTGCATGCCTGCTAGCGGAGTAGAGAGAGGTAGGTAACGTGGGCTGGATTGCTTTAGGATGCTCAGGTAAGGAGTCGGGACTTGGTCCTCTGGGAAGTAGACTGTGTGTTTCCAGTTTGGGGACTCTCATCATCAGGGTCGTGTTTTAAGAAGATTAACGTGCGGCCGGGCACAGTGGCTCATGCCTGTAATCCCAGCACTTTGGGAGGCTGAGGTGGGCCGATCACCTGAGGTCAGAAGTTTGAGACCAGCCTGACCGATACGGTGAAACCCTGTCTCTACTAAAAACACAAAAATTAGCTGGGAGTGGTGGTGCGCACCTGTAGTCCCAGCTACTCGGGAGGCTGAGGCGAAAGAATCGCTTGAACCCAGGAGGCAGATGTTGGCAGTGAGCCGAGATTGCGCCACTGCACTCCAGCCTGGTGACAGAGCAAGACTCCGTCTAAAAAAAAAAAAAAAAAAAAATTAGATGAGAATGGTGGCAGGTGCCTGTAATCCCAGCTATTTGGAAAGCTGAGGCAGGAGAATTGCTTGAACCCAGGATGTGAAGGTTGCAGCGAGCCAGGATTGTGCCACTGTACTCCAGCCTGGGCAACAGAGAGAGACTCTGTTTTAAAAATAAACAGAGATTACCATGCTAGTTTCATTTGGGTGAAATTGTAAAGAGAAAAGAGCAGGGCAAGCACCTGTGATGTTGTGTATAGTCCAGACCAGCAATGATGAAAGACTGAATTGAGATGCTGGACATGGCAAAGAAACAGATGAGAATATACATAAGAAGGAAGGACTTGAGCCATTTGGGAGAGAGAAGCTCAGTCTAAGTAAGACTTAGTAAAATTTTCAAATAAATTAGGACATTTTAAACAGGTCACTCATGCCTGTAATCCCAGCACTTTGGGAGACCAAGGCAGGTGGATCACCTGAGGTCAGGAGTTTGAGATCAGCCTGGCCAACATGACAAAATCCCATCTGTACTAAAATACAAAAATTAGCTGAGGGTGGCGGCACACACCCGTAGTCCCAGCCAGTCAGGAGGCTGAGGCAGAAGAATTGCTTGAACCTGGGAGGTGGAGGTTGCAATGAGCTGAGATTGCACCACTGCACTCTAGCCTGGGTGATTGAATGAGACTCTGTCTCAAAAAAAAAAAAAAATCGAAATTTAGAGAATGCAAATAACAAAAAAATAAAATAACTCAGGATTCAAAACTACTATCATCTTAGTCCTTTCTAAATGAAAGAATTCTATTACCAAAAAAGGAAGTATATATTCTGAGTATAGTTTCATAAGTTGAATAGATGTAGCTTCTTGTAAAATACAGTCCATTGTCTTTTTTTCCCCTCTTTTTCCATAAACAAGTGAACACTTCGTTTCTTTTTTTTTTTTTTGAGACGGAGTTTCGCTCTTGTTACCCAGGCTGGAGTGCGATGGCGCGATCTCGGCTCACCGCAGCCTCCACCTCCTGGGTTCAGGCAATTCTCCTGCCTCAGCCTCCTGAGTAGCTGGGATTACAGGCACGCGCCACCATGCCCAGCTAATTTTTTGTATTTTTAGTAGAGACGGGGTTTCACCATGTTGACCAGGATGGTCTCGATCTCTTGACTTCGTGATCCACCTGCCTTGGCCTCCCAAAGTGCTGGGATTACAGGCATGAGCCACTGCGCCCGGCCTGAACACTTCGTTTCTTACTGGCCCAGGGAAGCCTAATGTTATTCTGTTACCGACATCTCTCTCCTACTCTTTGAGTCTCTTTCCCGTAAGAATTCCCATCATTTACTTTCTCAATTACTTATTAATTGGTAAATAATTTTATTTAGCATTCATTGTATTGAAATCCTTCTCAGAGACAATGGGAATGAGACTGGGCAGTTTTCTTCCTGTCACTTTTTATCTAGTTATTGTATGATCTTAGGACTCCCACAGGTCTCTCTTCAGCTTCTAAAACTGCCCTAGGCTAGGTGCGGTGGCTTACACCTGTAATCCCAGCACTTTGGAAGGCTGAGGTGGGTGGATCACTTGAGGCCAGGAATTTGATACCAGCCTGACCAACATGGGGAAATTCTGTCTCTACTAAAATTACAAAAAGTAGCTGTGCTTGGTGGCACGTATCTGTAGTCCCAGCTACTCAGGAGGCTGAGGCAGGAGAATCACTGAACCTAGGAGGCGGAGGTTGCAGTGAGCCGAGATTGCACCACTGCACTCCCACCTGGGGGACAGAGTGAGACCTTCTGTAAAACAAAAACAAAAAAACCTTGTTCTTTATCTAAAGAAGATTAAAACCCTATGTTACCTACAATGTCAGATATGGAATGGAGCCTTCTTTGGAGACTAAACTGTCAAGATGTAACTGAAATTAGGAAATCAGTTTCTAAAGCAGAGATCTAATACCAACAGGGGAAAAATACCTTTATTCCATACCGTGCATTTTGTTGAAATATATACATAGTATGCTTCCGTGCATTTAGCAACTGGAATGACTAATGTGTAGGTTTAAAAATTTTTTAAGTTGAGAAATGTGGAAGAAAGTGGTAGCCTTTTTTTTTTTTTAAATACGAGACAGAGTCTCACTATGTTGCCCAGGCTGTTCTCAAACTCCCAGTCCTAGCCTCACAAAGTGCTGGGATTACAGGTGTGTGCCACTATGCCTGGCCTACATTTCAAGTTCAGAACACTTCTGTCCCATAAGTAGTTAAGAATGATGGCTATATGTAGTTATTTACTATACTCATTCTTTTACCAAACAAATTTGTAGTTTATAAGTTTTCTTATGGAAGTGTTTGAGAAACCAGCAAGAAACTACTTATCTTCTCTCCAGTTACAGCATCCTGATTTCCATGTTTTTAAAGGAAATAGTCTTTCATTGAATGGACTCAAGTTTTAAAAAAAATTGCTAGGCCCTTAATTGTTTCTATCATTCAGTTTTCATTTGTGTTTTAAAAAATTATTTATTAGAAATTATTGATGAAATACTTATCTTTGTTTCCATTTGCTATGTCAGATTACAAAAGATCTATTTTTGACCTGATGCTCATGAATGGTAGAAATTTTCTAGAAATACTCATTTTTATGATTTTATGGCTAAAAGTTATACTCACGGTTAAAATAGTACAGACTGAAAATCCATTTAATTTATTAAAATGTAATACTTTATAAATATATTGAGAGTTTAAAAGTTATTTGTGCTTTGTAGGTAGCTTCTTGTTTTTGTTAAATTATTTACACTTTTGTCACAAAATGTGTTGATACGGTTTTATGTTTTTTTTTTTTTTTTTTTTTTTTTTTGAGGCGGAGTTTTGCTCTTGTTACCTAGGCTGGAGTGCAATGGCGCGATCTCGGCTCACCGCAACCTCCGCCTCCTGGGTTCAGGCAATTCTTCTGTCTCAGCCTCCTGAGTAGCTGGGATTACAGGCATGTGCCACCATGCCCAGCTAATTTTTTTGTATTTTTAGTAAAGATGGGGTTTCACCATGTTGACCAGGATGGTCTCGATCCCTTGACCTCGTGATCCACCCGCCTCGGCCTCCCAAAGTGCTGGGATTACAGGCTTGAGCCACCGCGCCCGGCCTATGTTCTGTTTTACATAGAATACTCAGTTTCTTCTTTGTCCGTGAATAATGTTGTACTGCATTAGCAGCAGTTTGTAGTAATTTGAAATAATAAATACTCTGAATCTTGTGATCTAATATAGTTATAGCTTGGTCTTTGGTGGAACTAGAATTGTTGATCCTTTCAAATGATGATGAGGCATGTTCTAGACAATACTGTAGGGTAGAATGTGTCTCTGTCAAGTGTTACATACAAACAGTATTCTGTTTGGGTTTCCTTTTAAGTGGATGGGTTAATTCATGTAATGGTATATTTTTTTTTCTTTTTTTTCCCCACTTACTAGTGATTTTTGTATAGTTTCCAAAGAGTTTCCAATGTAATAAATAATTTTAAAGTTGAATATGAAAATAAAACATGTAACTAGAAGCAAGATGATGACAGTGAGTTTGGATTCCTGCCAGCATAACCATATGGCATGTGCTGGTGTCAGCCCAGTGGGTCATCTTGACGTCTTTTGTTAACTGCCCAGATGCTCTCCTACAGTAGCATTTGACATTTCAGAGTTAAACAGAAATATCTATTCAGGAAGATCTTTTCATATAATGGCATGTCATAAATATGGAAGCATGTTTTCAAAAGAGAGCTTTTTCCTCACTGCCTTTTTTATAAGTAGTTGAGTAAAAAAGGGTCAGTGTTAGGTCTCAGTGTTCCTGGTGAGAACAGGAGTCCAGGCATTGGGTTTCATGTTCTGGACCCCTTGTCAGTTTGTTCTTGGTTTTTCTGCCAAACCTTGCTTGAGCATTACTGTGGAGCACAGCAGCACTGTCATCTTGGAGCTGTCCTCACTGTCTTTCTTTCTGTCCCTGATGGCCTATTTTGTTTTATTCTATATAAAATATCCTCTACTTTTTATGTGAGTATTAATCATCCTACTTAACTTGTAGGTTCCCCACCATAAGAATGCCATTAGAAGGTGTATGAAGGCATTCTCTTATGAATTAAAGCCAGAATTTATACCTAGAAAACGTTTCTAACAACATAGAATCAAGATGACCCGTTAGAATTCAGTGCTAGCATATAGAAATAATTTTTTGCTATAATTTTTTCTTTTGCAGATAGATGTTGATCAATACTCAATGTGTTTATCAGCTATGAATCCTAGTTAGGATGACATTTTTCTAATATATGTGGATCTTTTTCTTCATCAGTGATTTGAAGATAAAGGTTGGGGACAGGCACATCAATGCTCACAAGTTTGTCCTGGCAGCCCGCAGTGACAGCTGGAGTCTGGCTAACTTGTCTTCCACTAAGGAGCTGGACCTATCAGGTGAGCGTTTGAGCAATGAGGGACACGAAACTGCTAGCGGAAGAACTCTCGGCAGAAAGTTAGTGTCTTATTTTGAAATATTTGTGATTTAACGAAAGTAAAATAATTTTCTTAGCAATTGATGGTGACCATGAACTAGTTAAATAATTAATGAATCAGGAGGTTGTACTTTTAGGTGCTTTGTTTACCTACCTATTTAGGAGGTAATACCTGGCTAACAACTCATAAATATTTGAGTATCTGCAATGTCCTTATGATTTATAAAATGTAAATATTTTCCATACACTCATTTCATGAAAAAGTATGCTACAAATAAGGATTCATGTGCAGAAAAATTTTTTCCCTCAAATCTAATAAGTCTTGCTGTCAAATTGCCTAAAACTTAATACTAGATGCCTGAACTCAGAACAGTTACTCTGAAGAATAATAATTACCTTTCTTAAACATCAAAGGTTGACCATTAGCCTTCAGAATTTTAATAGGCGTGGGTTACTTTATCATATGGTGGATATGTTCATTTGCTTCATTTTAGTACCCATTTTACTATATATGTATCTCATAGCATTGTGTTGTATAGCTTAAATATATACAGTTTTTTTTTTTTTTTTTTTTAAAGAATTTTAAGACTGGGTATGGTGGTTCATGCCTGTAATCCTAGCACTTTGAGAGGCCAAGGTGGGAGGACCACTTGAGCCCAGGAATTCAAGACCAGCCTGTGCGAACATAGCAAGACCCTGTCTCTACAGTAAATTTAAAGAAAAAAATCAGCTTGACGTGATGGCATGTGTCTGTAGCCCCATCTTGTTGGAAATCTAAGGTGGATGGATTTCTTGAGCCAAGAGTTTGAGGCCACAGTGAGCTGTGATGTCACCACTGCATTCCACCCTGGGCAACAGAGCAAGACCTTGTCTCAAAAAAAAAAAAAAAAAAAAAAAAAAAAAGAGCTACATTGGCTTATTTAATGTTATTATTTGTTTTATATCACGTGTGTGTGTGTCTGTGTGTGTGTGTGATTGAAGCAAATAGGGTGGCTAGTGGACTAAAAAACAATCATTTTCAAAAGTCGACCTGAAAGTTGCATTTTTATTTAGTACTTGCCTGACTGCTATTGGGAAAAAAGGGGCAAAGAGCAAAGTTTTAATTTAATTCTACTGTTAATATTCTTGAGAATTATATGGTGAGGAGAACGACAGGGATGTGTTCTGAGAAATGCGTCATTATGTGGTTTTGTTGTGGGAATACCATAGAGTATATTTACAGAAATCTACTTGGTAGAGCCTGCTGCCTGCCTAGGCTATATGGCATAGTCTGTGGCTCCTGGGCTACAGCCCTGTGCAGCGCTGGATGCCACAGGCAGCAGTAACACGGTGGTAAGTATTTGCATATCTAAACATAGAAAAGGTCAGCAAAAATGCCATATTATAATTTTAGGGGACCAGCATCGTATCTGCAGTCTGTTGTTGACCAAACATAGTTAGGCTGCTCGTGACCATACTTGCCAAAGTGCTTGTCTGAGTGAGTTACATCTTTGTTTAGAAGGTCTGTCAGTGCAGAAGGCACTACTTTCCATGGGCAGTGCCAGCATCACTGGGGTGATGACACAGTCCCTGCCATATGGAGACCATACTCTGCTGGAGGAAGCAGGCCGCAAACAAGTCATTTCAGACCAGGGCTCTACATACAGAAATGTGATTTGCTTACACGTAAGGTTGAGAAGAGACTCAGTTGGGGTGATAAAGGAGGGTTGCATAGGTGGCTAAAACCTGAGCAGTGTTGTAAAGGCCAAGTAGGCACTTATCTCACGGACTAAGGGGATTGTATGTCAGTGTTCCCCAACTGTGAGTGAACTGTCTCTTTATGATAATTTCTAGGATTTAACTTGAGATCCATAACTAGAAGTTATAGATACAGATACACATATACACTGACACGTGTGTATGCCTGCATGCCAGTGACTAAAAGCATCTGCCTGGGACATAGTGTTTTCCTGGAAGGGCATCAGTTCACGTGATCGAAATCTCAAGGCATAGCTTTTTTTTTTTTTTTTTTAAGCATAATGTTTTGAAGCCATTTATCTTTGACCTCATATATAACAGAATTATGGACACCTTTTAAAATTCATAAGATCATTTGGTGTTTTTCACAAAATGTATGGTAGGATCTTGATTACATGAACAGAATGTTTATGAAGTCTAGAAGATAATATATGGAAAATATTCGACTTGGTTAGAAAAAGTTAAGAATAAGCTACCATCTTTTGATAGCCATATAATCAAAAATTGATGATCCTAGTAGTTGTGAGGCTCATGAAATTGTTATTCTTGTACATTGCCAGTGACATTATAAGTAGATACGATAGTTTTAGAAAGGAGTTAGGCAGCTGAGTGGTGAAATATTCTTACCTTTTTTTTCCTTCATTATGTGTCTTCTGGGAATCTGTCATAGGTAACTCAGACAGTGTTAACGTTCTTCAGTTTTATGTCTAATGGTGAAATATTGACTGCAACCAAAATGAATGAGAGTGGGAAGACTAAAACATGGCTACTCTCTGGAACAAACAAAATTGCACAACACCAAAAATTGCATTAAGGAATAAAAAGCCAATTTAAACATTGAATTTAAAAATTTTGCCTTTCACTGAACTTTTTTAGTACATCCAAACATTTAGAGCTTAATTCAGTGCTGTCTGGCCACAAGATTGCATCACTGTGAGTCAGGAAGTTTTTTTGAGTTGAGAACAATAAATTGTTAATGTCTTCAAATGTCTCTAGACTCGCTCCAGTTGTAAATAGCAAGTGTGTTTTGATCCTACTATAAGGTTTATTTCAGAAGTTTATTTCATTTACTTCAAAGCAAATGGTTTTTGTGGCTTTGGTAGATCAGGTATCTGTGAAGATAGCTGATGGGAGAACATGTGGCATTTTTTTTTTTTTTTTTTTTTTCTCTCGAGACGGAGTTTCGCTCTCGTTACCCAGGCTGGAGTGCAATGGCGCGATCTCGCCTCACCGCAACCTCCGCCTCCTGGGTTCAGGCAATTCTTCTGCCTCAGCCTCCTGAGTAGCTGGGATTACAGGCACGTGCCACCATGCCCAGCTAATTTTTTGTATTTTTAGTAGAGACGGGGTTTCACCATGTTGACCAGGATGGTCTCGATCTCTCGACCTCGTGATCCACCCGCCTCGGCCTCCCAAAGTGCTGGGATTACAGGCTTGAGCCACCGCGCCCGGCGAACATGTGGCATTTTTACTGTTTATGACATTTTTATGAGTGGTATCTTTGAAATGTGTTATGGGGGAGAGGTCCACGGTGGTAGTGGCACGTGTGGACCTGTTCATGTTTAATTGTGTGCTTTGTCCAGCAGTCCTGCTCACTGCCTGGGTGGCTGTGTGATTGCCTAAACCTGGGGTTGCAGTTTCTGGGACTGGCTGGGAAGCCTGTGTGTTACGTGATACCTGTGAGCACTAGCACTTCGTGGCTGGCCAGCAATTTGAGGAAGATTGGAAATAGGTTCTTGTAAACAGGTGTATAAATAGCACAAAAGCTATGTTTTAAATGCCCAAGTGTTTTCCACACCAACAGGTTTGATAAAATCATTTAATGAATTTATTGGTGTTTTGTTTTTTCAACATTAGTCCATTCATGTAACAAATACTGAGTGGTGAGCACTGTTTAAGGTGCTACGAATACAAAGTGTACAAAGTTAAATTCTTGCTTGCACGAAACTTACATCTTAGAAAACCTCCACATGTTTCTTTTCAAGATCTTGTCTAATTTTTCTTCTTTTTTTTTTGAGAGGGAGTTTCACTCTTGTTACCCAGGCTGGAGTGCAATGGCCTGATCTTGGCTCACTGCAACCTCTGCCTCCTGGGTTCAAGCAATTCTCCTGCCTCAGTCTGTCGAGTAGCTGGGATTACCGGCATGTGCCACTACGCCTGGCAAATTTTGTATTTTTTAATAGCGATGGGGTTTTTCCATGTTGGTCAGGCTGGTCTCAAACTCCCAGCCTCAGGTGATCTGCTTGTCTCAGCGTCCCAGAGTGCTGGGGTTACAGGCGTGAGCCATTGCACTCAGTCCTGATATTTCTTAAGATTAAAAACAAGTTTAATCCTGCTGTTAGTTATGATTTTTTGGGGGCGATTTTTTTATTTTATTTTTTTTTACCCAGGCTAGAGTGTAGTGCAATTATGGCTCACTGCAGCCTTGACCTCCTGGCCTCAGGTAGTCCTCCCATCTCAGCCTCCCGAGTATCTGGGACTACAGGCATGTGCTACCATACCTTGTTCATTTTTTGTATAGATGGGGTTTTGCCATGTTGCCCAGGCTGGTCTTGAACTCCTGGACTCAGGGAGGGCCCCTGCTTTGGCCTCCCAAAGTGTTGGAGTTACAAGCATGAGCCACTGCACACAGCCTTAATTATGAGAATTTTAGCACATGCTGGTGAAATACAACAGGCATTATGTACTTTAAAGGTATTTGAGTATATGAATCATACCTTGTTCAAAAAAGTGAAATGTTTGCACCTGATGTGATCCACTGTTAAAGACACAGTCACTTCTGTAGGATTCTTTTTTGTTAGTTTGTTTTTGAGATAGGGTCTCACTCTGTTTCCCAGGCTAGAATGCAGTGACACTGTTGTGGCTCACTGCAGCCTTGAACTCTTGGGCTCAGGAGATCCTCCCAGCTACCTAAGATCAGCCTCTTAGGTAGCTGGGAGTTGCCTGATTAATTTTTTTTAATAGAGATGGGGTCTTGCTAGCCAAGGCTGGTCTCAAACTCCTGGGCTCAAATGATCCTTTTGCCTCTGCTGCCCAAAGTGCTGGATTTCAGGCATGAGCCACTGTGCCTCGCTTTTCTGTAGGATTTTTGCCATTAATGCATAACCTCAATCTAACCATGAGAAAACATCAGACCCAAATTGAGGAACATTTCTCAAAATAATCAGCCAGTGTTCCTCAAGCATGTCAAGGTTATGAAAAACAAGAATGGGACCGGGCGCAGTG